TTTAAACACACACTCAGATTTACCCGACACTATTAGGAACATACAAGTAGAAAACACTAATATATTAACTGCATCCACTTGCAAAAAAAACTAAAAATAATGGAAGCTCTAATAATAAAAAGAAAAAGCCAACTCTTAACAATATCAATTATGAACAAGGCCACAATGTGCTAACTGTATTCGGAAACTAAAACATCACTACCACACACTGAACATACATAGAACACACACTACTTGATAATGAATATCCATCATTGAACCATCCTTGATAATGGCTAAAAGTATAGCCGAAAGCGCTCGGAAAAACAGAACATTCGGACAGTTCTTACACACTCTTTGTCCAGAAAAGAAAGCTCTTGTCAGAACACAAGAAAAATTAAATAAAAAGCTCAACTGTAGTACCTTGTCTGTCGTTTTTAACGAAACATGCATAAAGGAAGGATTGCTGCCTAATTATACAAATATATATATCTATATATATATATATATATATATATATATATATATATATATATATATATATATATTACTGATAATATTTTTATTATTACTCATTCAGTGTTGTAATTTAGAGTTTAGTTAATGTAATACCTTTCAATATTGTGGCTATTTTTTATGAATAAATATTTTCTCTATGATTGTATTGCTGTGTCTCACCCGAATAATAAAACATATCCTTTTTATGCATTTTAGGACGTAGGCGATCATGTCTCTCCACCTTCCTCTACCGCTTGCTGCTCTCAACAAGTTCATTCCCTCTGCTTCCTCCCCGAGACCACGTTCTGTCATCCACCAGCTCAAACTCGCCAGGTATGTCACGTGCTGCTTTCTCATGTCTTTCTTTCACTCTATTCGACCCGTAAGTATCAGATTCTCCAGGCCTTCCTCCCTCATTATGTGTCCCAGAACTTCAGCTGCCTCTTCCTGGCGTTAAATATAAGCCTCCTCCTCGTTGCTCACACGCGCGGTCGACGAAATCCTCATCCTCCTCCTGTAGAACCACAGTTCCGTCATCTCGAATCTCTTCTTCATCTTTGAGGAAATCATCCAGCCTTAGCTGCCGTAAAGAATGGCGAATGTCACGTGTGAAAATTATTAATGCAACAAATTCATTATAATTTTCTCTTCACAGAATATCTTCAGTTCACGTTTTATACTTAATCAATATTTTAACGAATATTGCCTGCTATATCATTTTTTCAGCATTGCGATAATATTTTATATAATTGCAAGCATTTTTGTCATGGGGTTTGTAAATACCTCAGGGTTCTCTCCATTTTTGGAAATCCGAAGTGATTGAGTCAGGATTAAAATTTCATATCGAAAATGTCTGGTAGATCTTCTATTATTGCCCTTGTGTTTTAAAGGTCAGTAAATTCGATGGTGTATATTCCTTTATTTCTTTCAGCCTTCTCTATCCCTTCATTCATTGAATAATTAATTGATAGACGTTTTCATAATACAGGGCGTCCCCCAAAATGTAACATCATTTCGCAGGCCAATAATTTTGGCAATTCTTGTTCAAATAACTTCAAATTTTCACAGGATGTAGAGAAACAGATCAAGATTTTATATGTAATGTTTTATTTTTGTTATCTCAATGAGAATCTGCCATAGAGATGGATCGGTCGTGGTGGAGATGAAGAGAGTTTTCTGATGAAATGGCCGCCGCGGTCACCGGACGCGTCCCCGTATGATTTCTTTCTATGGGGATATGTGAAGTGACTGGTCTATGTCCTGCTAACAATGTTGAAGTCACGCAGAGAATCATTACTGCACTGAATAATGTTACCGGAAACATGCTACAGCGTGTTTGGCAAGAGCTTAACTACCGACTTAACGTGTGCCTTGTCACAGGTGGTGCACATATTGAATACTTCTGAAATCTGTCCCATAATAAACTAATGTCGTTCAACAAATAATTGTTCAATTTCATTGAGCTAGAAGTAATAGTTTTGAAGATAATTGCTTTTAAAACGATGTCAATTTTTGGGGTGTACACAATGTATTTCATATCCTCTGTTCCTTATTTGTAGAAAAGCTGAAAACTGAGGTCATGTGATCAGTGATTTAACTGTGACAAATACCAATGTCCAATTGATATTGGTGGGTAGCATTTTTTGATGGCGAACTGTATTAGGGAACAATTTGATTTGTCCTTAATATTTGAAAACCAATTGGTGACTTCTTTGGTATTAAGCGACTATGTTAATCCCATGTAATCCTTTTTTTTTTGTTAACACTTTACAGAGATTTTTTGTAATAATTTTACTGTTCTCAGGCCGGGTTAGCTTTATAATTCTTGTAGTAGGATTGGTCTCAAAATCCGGTGTGTGCTGCTTGATGTTAATATAGCAATATGTTTTGTTTTTTTTTAAGTTTATCTACTCTATCTCTAAATTATTCGTTATTTTCTTACTAGTTACATGTATACTTTATACCATATTAAGATTATTATTATTATTAGCTTTTTTATAATTCTTTGTTATTTTTTTTACCG